TAAGGTTAATTTATAAGCCACGGTAAATTGAAAAACCGAAAAAAAAATATTTACCGCGACAATAAGTCATACGACGACAACTGCTACGATAGGACAACACAGCGTGAGCCATAAAAAAATTATATCCTCGTCTTACATTCCGAAGGTGATTATCGGGTCACGCGTAATTTGATACGAGCTTTTATCGTCTGGTATAATGCGAACAGGGTTGTGAAAAAAAAATTGTTTCACCGACGAAAATGGCCGAGGCGCAACGTTGAAATAAAAAAATAATAATAATAACAAAATAAAAAAAAAACCGAGGATAAAGTGCGGAATGAAAAAAAAACAACAATTATTCGTCCGGGATGCTTTGTGCGGAAACAATAAAGGAAATAAAAGTTAAAAGTTCTAGCACAAAGTTGCGAGTACACTTTCTATTGTATAATACGCTGGGGCGAACGGGTAAGAATAGAATTGGGAATGTTTGGGTGTGCGAAAAAAGTTTTTTTTTTTAAATTTTCATCGTGGTCGTTATCACAACCGAGTTTGTGTCACCTCGACGGAATCGTTAAGAACCCTTATTCATCCCTCTTCTCGATATGGCTCGTTTACCAATCTCTTGAGATATTAATACCGACCACTAGTCGTAACAATTTAGTCCACAAAAACAGTTGTGGCAGGTATTGTACGTACTACACAATACTCGTATATTTTTTAATATTATTACACTTCTGAGTTTAGAAAAATTCCAGTGGACCGAATCAGGATTGCAATTAAAAAAAAAAACAAACAAAACCACTCAACTTGACAATTATGGGATATAATATTTTTATCAGAGCTCTTCATGCTTTGCAATTACTAATTATTTTGTACCTACCAATTGTTTTGCTATCACCCGAAAGTGAAGTGTTTAAGTTACATGTTATTCATATATCGATCAGCTATCGACTTTTCCGTGAGACAAGACGTCGTTACTTAAATGATATGTCATAAAAGTTCTACTCAATGGATAGGAGTGTGTATAAGACTATACAATTTTTAAAATTTTTTTTTATTGTTTTTAAGGCTCGACAACTAAGGTTATTACTTATTAGCTTACTTATTTACAATAAAGCTTCTACATCCGGGATACTTTATAGAAAATATGATTAATATTAGTTTGTACGATGTAGAAAAAGAAAAAAATATCGAAAAATTCATATCAAATTATAATATAAGGTCTAAAGTTTTTTGGTTTTTTGAAAAGTTGAGATATTGTTGTTATTTTCATAATCGGATCTGATGTCTGCATAATTGCGGCTGTGTAAATGGACGTGTTTGACAGTTAGAGCTTCCCCTCAGGTAGTACTTCAATTTCTTGTTCAGCCGGGAACAACTGTATTGTGCCGTAATACTTGAACAGTAACCCTAATTTTTTTTTTACACATCAACATACATTCTCTAATTGTAAACGAATAACCGTGTTATTGATATCAGTTTCATTTGAAAGCGACTTATTATAAACTAGCTAATGGATTTTCTGTGAAGCTGTCTATCAACGACTGTTTCGGGTCAGCTTATCTTAATGTAAATAAATATAACACTTGGTGCCGTAGATGTATATAGTTATTGTATTGGTATATCTTGGTACAAAGTTTTTGTTAGATGAACAATAAAACGTATGCAGTGATACACACAAATTATTTTTTTGTTTTATTTTTCGCGACCAATATAATTTCCATGATCTCCACGAACAATGAACATATTATTTTAATATAATATGCATTATAATAAAATATACAGGCTCATTTTACCGTGCTCCTAAAAATTTCATTTGCAAGGATCGACCGCCTCGTCCCGTGCGCACGCCTATGGTTCAAATTCTATTGAATTGCGTCCAATACTGTTCCACTAATTATTCATGAATTCTTGATCCATCGAATTTGCAATATTGGTAAAATCGATGTTTAAACAACGTTTATTAGAACAATAAAAAATGTACCATACATATATTATCAGACTTTGTTTTCATTATATTTATTTAAAATTGTTTAAAAATGTGTGATAAATGTTTGATATATAATAATATTCTTAACTCTAGCAATTTTCGAAGAAATTTCGTGAACCATTTATACTTAAAGAGCACTGTTTTTAAAAAATAAAAATGGCGTGATATAATTATGGGAATTAAATGTTCTGTTTTTTTAGTAAGGTCGCTAATATTAGTACCAATGTGTCTATATACTCTATGGTGTAAACCGATTGAAAGAAAACCACCCAAACGCTTCGTCATAATTTCACCGTCAAATGATATCCATGGGATTTGTAGTATTTTGATCTAGTATTGATAACTCATACACTAAGTGTGTGTGTGTATAATATGTGTGTGTACTATTTCAGATTACAGATTACGTGGAATCGCGAAGCGAACATTTTTGATAATGGCCCAGAGACATCTGCTAGACTGTTTGATATAGAAAACGGCACATATGTAGCCAAATGGTAGAACAAATAAAACCAAATTGATTTCGTAAGGAGAACAAAACGTAACGGCGGCCAAATGGAAGTATAACCTGCACGAAACGCGCTGTACATGGCTGGTATGAACAAATAAAATAAAATAGAAACTAAAAAAAAATAAAAATAGTCTTCCACGTCGTGACAGATGCGTGCACATTATGCGCATTATGATGATGCATGTATACATCATAATACGGATTAAGCTAGTGAAAAAATGAAAAAAAAAATGTGTACAGTTATTATTGCGATCATTATTTTGAATACTATGCGAGGCAATATAATACAGTCGCGAAGAAAATAATATGCAAGTGCAATTTGCGTTGGCGAAGTATGGGTATATGTATTTAACGAATAATGAACGCACGATACCTAGCCTCAAAGTTCTAGCCGCCGACATTGTGATTGATAAAGTTTTGGTCTTTGGGAAACTTTCAACTGTTGTTATTTAACTTCCACGGCGTCTGGAAAAATCCTATAGCGACAGCTCACTATATAATATGTCCAAATCAAATGTCGAGCTGTTTTGCAATAGCACAGCCACATGTTATTTAACGAGAGTAAGAAAAAGAATATGAAAATGGTTAAACCATCGTTTCAACGGCAAAATAAAACATGTTTATTGCCTACTGTAAAATAGACGTTTTCCAGCTTTCTCATACGTTCCCAAGACGGTACTTTATTTAATTTCACTAACTTTCTGCGTATAAATTACTATCTGGTTACAGAATTTAATTTGGTCAATTTCTTATATTTGAACAGTATTTACATTTTACGCCGATAAAATGTATAAAATGCGCTACTAATTTTGATACATTTCGACTTAATTTTCGTCACGTGTGTGTTATTATTTTAATATTTACTTAATCAATTACAAAAATGGAAAGTAATAGTAACTAATTTGCTGTACAGTTGTTTGTGTTGCTTGTACCTCGTCATCGAGTAAATTATTATAAATATTTGAAAATGTAATACAAAGGTCCTCATAAGTGATTATTACTAGAATCAAAAAAATAGTTAATCCTTATTCCACAACATTTTTTTATGAGCATTTACATTTTACATTTTGGCGAAATTGAACATTCTCGGGTGAAAAACGGTTTCTCATCAAACGAATTTTATTTAGTTTTAAATTTGGACAAAATTATGTATTTAAAAGCTAAAAATAATTATTTTATTTTAGTTTAAAAATATCGTACGCGGTGACTGGAAGTTGTTTGTACGCACTAACGTTTTCAAAACAGTTGGCTTAATTTTAAATTTTAATATTTTTGCCACAAACCTATTCACACCATTTTACGCTAAGTCAGTACTGACTCAAAAGTTATTAACAATGATATAATATTTTGATATAAATATAATGATAAACACTAATACTGTTTTTAAATAATTAATTATTAAGTAAAAATATTATAATGAATGCAATTTTTCTGTCAAAAATAACTCAACCTACCTTATTATTAATAGTAAAATAGATAAAAAGTTGCAATATTAATATATCATAATATATACTTAGTTATACAGGGCGATTCGTCAAGCATGACACCCCCTTTTTCTTTAATAATAATGCAGTTAGTCAAAATCTGATTTTTGGAATCTTAAGTATACTTTAAGATTTATATTTTAAAGTTCTTGAAATCGTTTGTACTACTTTAAGGAGTGCCATATGGAGATAAAAACTTTTGTTTTTCAAATGAGAACACCCCTTTCGACTGTAAATCGTACACAGGACAATTTTTTTGAAAATGTTGACGTATCAGAAACAAAATTCGCACTATTTGCTTTTTGAGTTACGTTTCACTATGTTAGGTATGTGTGTTAAGAATTGCATGCATTTTTCCGAAAACCAAAGTTGAGAATCGATGAATTTTTATTGCTCTAATAGGCAATGACCGACACAAAACAGAAAATAAAAACCAACACACATTATTGTAAAATCAATACTTTCTTCGTTCCGCTCAGATTCTTAAATGTACATAAATATTGTTGTGCCAATATTTTACTCTACTTTTCTGTATGATATTAAATAATAATTACAATTAATTACTGCACAATTAATCACTACATTTTAGTGAAGTCGGAGTTAAAATTGTTTGCTTATACTGAAAACTACCAAAGAACAAAACGTGTAAAGCACCTTTATGATATGATATTTTACTTAACAGTTATAATATTTGTCCAACTATCTAATTCAATAAAATATGGTCAAAGGTGCAAATTAGGTATTTATTTGTCTCATTAGTTATTGAATTAAAAAAAAAAAAATTTAATTCTATTAAGCATACCAGCCAACCGGGTTTGAATTCGAATTCGAATTTAAACTGCATTGTATCCACACGTGTACATTTACTATTTAAACGAATACTGAAATGATTTAATGGCGATTATGTTAGGCATCCACATCAGCCATACCATCCAGCCGACTATTATGATATACGACTCGAAATGATTTAGTAGAATTAGAGCTTATACGTGTGACTATACAGAGAGTGTCGAGTGAATTATGCTTGGGATTTACATACCGTTTTGTCGTAGAGTAGTTGGATTTTGCAGTTCAATTGCACCGTGGACCCGATACGGGCGGTGACGTTGACGGGCCCGGGTCCGTCCTCGAACAACGGCGACCATTTCGATCCGACCTCGTGTTGATGATGATTTTCTTCGATCAAATTTACGTCCATCGTAGTTTCGGTCGTCGAAATGTTTTCTGCAAAAATACGAACAAAAATAACGTGTTACTTTGTCCGTTGAAAAACTGTAATATACTACATTGTATTACATAATACAAGAATTACATAATATATCAATATTAAAGTGAAACCTCTAAATACCGAACACTCGTTGAAATTGTGTCCGTTATTTGGAGACGCCCGCTGTTCGGAGGGTTCAGATAGAAGGAAGTTTGTTGTTAGTTCTCAAGAAAACGTTCACTATTAGGAGATATCTTTATTTGCTCGGTTTCCGTCGGGGGAGGTTTCACTGTTTTAGAATATAAAACACAACACTATCGTTTTAAAATCAATTGCAGTATTGGCTATTCTACCATATTTATAATGTTACAAAATCTAGTATTTTTACAAATGTTGATTGTTGGCCCAATTCGTGCTCCTTCTCTGAGGTTGAGTTCCCTTCATTGTCCCTATATGCACAGTACCAACTATGGTCGAAACCAGCTCATCGACAGTAATATGATGCGTCTGGGTAACGAGGACCCAACCTATTTTAGTGAATTTTAATATTACTGCTTAGTGGGTATCAAACGATACCATTAGATCTCCATTGAAAATGTCGACACTAAAAGACTCCATGGAATAAAATAAATCGTTTTAAACTCAAAAAATACAAAATTCAAGTTTCAATCATATCTCTGACACTAGAAAAAAATCTTCTCCAAAAGTGCGCTTTTTAAAAAAAAACTACTTACTTAATATTTACCAATCTAGTCTAATCCAAACTCATCACGTTCATTTTTTCACGAACATATTTCTGCGAGAATCATACAGCTTGGAACAGCGTTCTTAGCCAAAGCAAAGATAACCTATTCTACCATTATGTTCTTTATATTATATTATATTATGTAGTTTTGTCCATGTAATCTCTGTTATTAATTATTATGGTCTTAGTTATCGTCTCTGTCAAAATGTTATTTATTATTTGTTTTATCGTGTTATGTTATTGTATAATCGGGCCTTCAACCGTTACACATACATCAAATATTATGTGATCTAGGCCAAGAAATTTGTTAGTTTGAGCAAATTATTTCAGTAAAAATGTATATTACAACGAATTCACCAGGATGATAAGTATAATAAACCGCAATACTATGTGTATATTATATTATATTTATATTACATTTGTAAGTGACTATTGTGGTTTTGTTCTCCGTCCACATGGATGCGCTTTGAGTGTTTATGCACGCGTTTCTACAATGGTGCACAGTGATAAGCAAAATACTAAACGGTAAAAATGAAAAAATAAATAATCAGAGTCGAGACAACGAACGAATCGAAAACTAAATATTAATTGCTGCGGAGCGGTAGTCGTAGACACAAATAGGGATGGAATTTAAGTAAATAAAAAAAGTTTACCCCCCACCTTTCTCCACAGAAGGAATTTTTGAGATTTCTTCAAAATAACCTCGACTTACTGTAGACCCTCCCTCAATTTGTGAAATCTATTCACACTTATGGTGGTAGATAAATTGTATACAACTTCAGGTTGAATGTCAATTAAAAACAAACATAATGTGTTTTCGACAAAGACTTAATGGTTATATAGGTATTGGGCAATCGAGTTGCAGTCTTAAATAAATAGGTGCTACTCAACTCTATGATACTCACATTGTCACCGGGTAGGAATTATAGCTAGAAAATATTTAAAGTCGATGTGTATCAGTTATAATATTATATATTAGCACGATGGTAGAGAATGTGTTATTCAATACTAGTAAGATATTTCGTTTACGATCGAAATCGTGCAGTAATGCAATAAAATACCTTTTTGTGGATAGTACTAGTAACTTATTGTCCTTAATTTAGAGTGATACGGAAGGATGAATTTATTTTCACCAAAAAAAATCGAATTTTATCATATATCAATATTATAATAATATTTTATACTTATAATAACATATTATCATACATTAGTGTTATTATTAATAACTTATTAACGTTTAAGTCTCTTAATTTTCTAATTTTTGAAATACAACAAAAAAATACATTTTTGTAGACAACTGATTTCCAGTTTTTCCCTATTTTTTCAAAATTCTTTTTCATAAATTAATTACAGGATTGTTAATGGAATTTCTTTATGAGCCAGTTACATTCTATTTTATACCAGAAATCAATTAAAGACCAAATAAGCGTTTTTCGCACTTTAAATAGTGTTAACAGACAAAAAAAAAAAAATACATAGGTACATCATTGTGCAACCATTCACTCCGATCAGAATCTAAAATAACATCCCGAGACCGTTAGGAAAATAAAATATACAATTATACTATATTATATATCATACTTGGCACCGTAACGATATTTAAATTATATTTATTGCTCAATGAGTAGGTAGGTGAATTGTAGGTAGTTTTTGAATTAAATTCGATTGCACAGATACCATGGCTTACGAATTGACTGAACACTACATTCGTTGAATCATATTTGGCTGCCAGGCTAACAATTTATATATTATCAACTCTTACAAACATGTGCAGTGTACTTATTCTAACCTTCGCATACTGACCTACAGTGTTTCTCAAACTGTGTCATTGACCCACTATATTTCACTAATTTTCGTATCGGTGATCAAAAACTTTGAAAATGTTTAAAAGATAATTTGACATAGGATTTAATAATCAAAATATATGTAGTCCAACAAGAATTATAATATATATTCGTCATGATAACATAATTCTTAGTCTATGGCCTGACTGAAGACACTTTAAGACAGGATTGACCACTGCTAAGAACGATTAAACAAATGTATATTTTTATCGTCTTTAAGATTTAGGTACAATATCTTACTAATCAAAAGTACAGGACGCAGGTATTGATACATAGTTGGACCGTATAGTATTAACTTTTAATAGCTTGTTGAGTAGGGTGAAAAAACCCTGTAAACTCTAGGGTGGTCAGTCAAAATAATTTTGATTGACTGCACAGTTTGGGTAACACTGGTGTGCACCCGTGCCCACAACCCCCGTGACGTGCAAATATATTGTATTATATCGTCCTGCACTCTTTTGTCTTTGGCCGGCCGCCCTGCAGTCACAATCAATCATTTGGCAGGTGAAAAGGTGTTCGGAAAAGTTGCTGTTGGAATTATACCAGCTAGTAATTGCGTTAAAAACCGTACGCAAGAGACGCCCTCTCATCGACGTTTCCCACCCGGCGGTGCCACCCACCCCACAGCAAGGAAACTAGATTACACGACAAAGTTTAGTTTTCACACACAAATACACGCGTCTGTCATCAACGCCGAGATAATAAGATCCTTTGTAGCAGTTAAGTCGGCTATTGAATTAAAACCGTCCCCTTCGTCTCATGACTACGGCGTCAGCGACGAGACGCCACAGCTGAGTATGCTAAGTGTACATTATAACCTAAGATCAGTGTCTCCTTAACCACCGACATTATAAATTGGTTATCCGCGGGAAAGATAAAACAGTATCGATCCTCCACGATTAGACGAATAATCTATTATTATTAGCTCACACGTTCACGACAGTCGGACGACTAATATATTGTTACGTTAGTGAAATGAAATCATCACTCACCGAAGAAAGACAACGGTCTACGTTTATACTTATTTATACATCAAATTATGTGGGTATAGTGTGATATTTCTAGTCGACACCATCCAGCAAGTCATAGTAAATTAGACGCGAACATCGGACGTTCGGATTTTTTTTCAGATTTTACCTGCGACTAAAATATAAATTTAAAATGTTCTTCATTTCGTTTAAAATATATATATATATATATATATAATATTTAAGAAACTCATAAAATAATCACTTCATACTCCGATGCACTGAGACTGTCAATCAATATATAGTCGCACGAAATACTATTGTGGCCATAATTCACGTCGTGTCCGCTTAAAGTGACTGTATTTCATCACTTTCAACTGTACCAAATCTCGTTATACTTCAGTGAAAAATGTATTGTGCCATACCGGATCCTCCACTCTGCTGGTTACAAAAAAACGTCGAATTCAGACAAATCAAAATGGATTTTAATCTTAAGCTCGTATTGAATTGTTACTGTATATTTTACATTATTATGTTTTTTATAGACCATTCCGCTAACCATAATTTAACCACTAAAATAATAATTAAGAAGAAAGAAAGAAGAAAGTATTTTTTGTCGTCCAACAATGATTTACTCGAGTTAAATCCAAGTCTCCTTCGAAAGGTAGGTAATTTTTTAACACAATAAAATACGTTTGAAACTAAAACCAAAACTATCGACGCTTTAGCTTTTGGGTTTCAGACAAATAGATCTCGAAAACAACAGTTTGAATAAGAATATTTGAAACGACATTTCTAACCAAGAAAAAAAAATCATGACTGTACAATATGTTTGAAAAAAGTGTATTATTATTGTCAGTATGCATGGGACTTCTTATTTTCCATTCAGTTTTAGTAGTAATTATGAAACCGTAATCTAGGCTATTTAACTAATGCCGTCTAAACTCTTTTCAGAACCATTTGAGGAATGCGATTAGTCTGTTTGTGATGTACGCAACATAATTATATTGTTTATTTGATGGCGAGACTCTGTGCCACCGAAAAAAAAAAAATTACAGCCATTTTCGGCAAAGTTTCGCCGTGGAATTATTATAATACTGTACAGTACAGTAATTGCCTTAAGGCCCGTGTGCAGAAGGCACCTCTACTCCCCGCTTCCGCTGTTGTTTCGCCACTCGGCTGTGAAAACAAGATTACACGACAAATTTCCGTTGTCACACACACACACACACACACACACACACACACGTGCGCATTTGTCATCAACATTGAGATAATAAGACCCTTTAGTGTAAGCAATCGAATTAAAAATTGCCGCCTACTACCAACTACCGGCAACACGAGACGTCCACAATGATGGCAAAGACGACGGACGAAGTAGTACATCATTCGTAATAAGTTATTTTTAAATTTTGTAGGTCATCTGCGGCGGGTATACTTAGCGTAGACACTTCATCAAA